AAACTTTTAATATTTTTCACCTGTTATATTTGTAATGTTTATGACTAAAACTTATAAAGGCATAAATAACAAGTGCTGAATAGTTGTATAAAAAATTGTGTTTAACGTTAAAAATGAATTAAGTATATACATCACTAGTTGACATAATTTGAAATAAGTGAAACTCAATGGCCTAGACCATTGTGTTTCAAAAGTAGGTAGCATTGACATTTATTAATGCTATAGGTATTACTATTTGTAATAATTTGTAATACATGAAACTCAACGGGCTAGACTATATTTAAATTTGGTTGTGGCTAAATGTTTTTAAATACTTGGTAGTTTAAAATTTTATTATGATCACATATAAATAAAATAAAATTCTAAATAAATACAATAATGGTCGAATGGTTTCATTTTATTTTAAATATATTGTTATAATATAATATTATAATTTTAATGATCTAAATATTTTACTAAATTATTAATCAATAACTTTAAATTATGAATAATACAGGAAAAATAATGAATAATTCTTATTATAAAAATTAGTATAAATTTAATTAAATTCAATCTTGCTAGATTTTTCGATAATTATTTATCTATAAATATCGCTTAGAAATATCATTAAATATAATTTAATAATATATAATATCAATCCAACACAATTTTTTAATTGAGGTACAATAATAATATGATTGTATAGTGAACGTACAGTTTTAATTATATAGAATTAAAAACATTATACTATTTTATTTTAATTCATTAAGACTTTCATTATAAATATATTTCTCTTTTAAGAAATACTGAACAAACTGTTTGTTATAATCGTAGTTACTTTCGATATCAATTCTGTCTATGATGTGATCCCTGACCTCACTGTAAGCCATATACCAGTTGACTCTGGCTTTTAATGTGTCCACACAAGAGGGACGGTGACGCGGAAAGCCATCCAAAAGAGTTTTATTCAATGTTGTGATCTTCACGTAGTTATCATCCTTTGGTTGTGGACTACACGACAGTGAGAGAGAGAGAGAAAGAGACTGAATTAAAATAATTATTAATAAAAATTTTTAAAATACTGTAATTAATAAGACAAAACCTAGCTGGTACATTAAATATTTATTTAAACCCTCAAATTGGAATAATATAATTATTAAAGTTGATTGTATGTTTAATTGCTTAACAAATATAATGAGAAATACCTGTATTGGTCAAAGTTGAACAACTCGTTAACCGTAGCCCCAATGCTATACATATCGGCTTTCGTGCCATAATAGCGACTCACCCTAAACTCGGGCGCCATATAATTGTCAGTACAACCACTCGCATGACTTGTATGGGCCCAGTACTCTTTCAGGTGCCCAGGTACTGGGTCTAAGTCAGCCAATTTTACAAACTTTCCGTACGGACTACCCTTGATCAATATGTTTTTGGGTTGAATATCCCGGTGCATAATAGGCGGCTCACGACTATGCAAATAATCAATGGCTTCAAGTATTTCAACGAATAATTCTGAGGCCATATAATAGCCCAGAGTTGGCAGGAATTGATTGACTTGTCGGTCAAAGTGTGTACGCATTTTGTGAATGGCCTCCTCCAGTGTGAACCACCATAAATCCATCTGTATGTGCACTGTTAGCACCAGATCCTTGCCTTTGTGACTGGTTTCGAGCCACGAGGACTGGTAGTGTATTACATAATGACTGTCCAATTTTGTCCATACATTTATATTTTTGATGGTGTGGTCGTATACCTCTCGTAAAGTCCCTGTGAGTCCAATATTTTCTATAAAGTATAACAATAAATAATATACAATACTAAACTAAAATGCCAAATTCGTGCGATTAATGAATATAAGTTATATTTGCAATAAAACCTTTAATTGTGATTATATTGACGACATAATCGTTGCCATCGAGTATATTTGTCACTTTGAATACTTGTCCAAAATAGCCTTCCCTTATGAGTTGTTGAGTGTTTGAGTGAAATTCTGAGGACATTCGCTCGCTTTGCACAAATAAATCACTCAATTCTGGATAGTCCTCCAAATCAGAAGCCATTTTCAGATTATATGTAAATTAATAGCTAAATATTTCATACAATATTTCATAGGTGTGTCATACTGTATTAAATATTACTTTTATTAACTTATAATGGATGTTCGCCGTTTTGCAAATACCAGATTAGTATGACTAGGTTAATTGGCTTGAAAAAATAACATTTTGCACAATATTATGAAAATCCAGTTGCTCCTGGTCACCGAAAAACCCGATAATACTTTGGATTATCTACTGGTAATATAAATAGCACTTTAATGCAATATACCTTGAAACAATTTCAGTGGCGCATTGGTAAAGTGTCGCATCATAACCTTTTGATCACTGGATCGATCCCACCTTGGTGCGAAATCTTTTGTTTTATTTTTACATATATTATGTATAAATTGTATATAATATAAATTATTTTGATTAATATATGATATAATTCATAAAAATAGCAATTAATTTTAAAATATTATAAGGATATCATTAAATTAAACTTATAATTTTATTTTGATTTATAGTATTTCGATTAAAATTTCATATTACAGTTTACTAATAAATAATTCAATGTTAAAATCACATCAATATTAACAATATTAATATTACAGTTTGATACAGATAGTGCATCATAAAGTTTAATTTAATTATTAAATTTTATTTCAATATTTTTACTAATTAAATAAGTAAATTATATCTTCATTAATTTAATTCATTAGTTAATTTAAAATAATATATACAATTTATACAAAATATATGTAAAAATAAAACAAAAGATTTCGCACCAAGGTGGGATCGATCCAATGATCAAAAGGTTAGCAGGGCGACACTTTACCATTGCGCCACTGAAATTGCTTCAAGGTATATTGCATTAAAGTGCTATTTATATTACCAGTAGATAATCCAAAGTATTATCGGGTTTTTCGGTGACCAGGAGCAACTGGATTTTCATAATATTGTGCAAAATGTTATTTTTTCAAGCCAATTAACCTAGTGATACTAATCTGGTATTTGCAAAACGGCGAACATCCATTATTAGTTTAGGTGTATTCTATAGTTAGTATTGCACAAAAAAAAAATTCACAAAATCAGAATAATCTGTAAAATTCAATTTTCATAACATGCAAGTAATATATATTATTAATATAAAATGTAATGTTTTTGAAATATAAATATAAAAATATAAATGAAATACAGTATTAACTGAAATAGATCAATGTACAATAGATTAATCTTTTGAAACTTGATTTATATCTATTTAGTATGATGAGTTTTTGAGTTACTACAGTATTGCTATGCCATGAGAATGAATAATTTTATTTTGTGATATTCCTTTTAAACATTAATTTTGAATAAAGCAATACATATTAACTAATCTTTTTAAAACAGTTGATAAGTTTATTTCCGGCTTAGATTGGCCATTTAAATTATTTACATAAAACAATATTCAATTATATGTATAATTATATACATTTATATAATTATATAATTATGTACAATTATATATGAAAATTTCATTCTGTGGGGAGGACTCGATAACAAATAAATGAATGAATGACTAGATATTTATTAAATAACTTTCATGTATGCTTTTATAATGATCACCTATTGGGACAAATAATTATTAGATTATGTGGGAGTATACACCAAACACAAATTGTGTAACGCTAAATACAAATCAAACTAGCACAGATTGGGCTAATAACTCAACATTCAGCAAAATAATAATATAATCAAAATGAATTATAAAACTACAAAATTATAGATTAAGTCACCATTTATATTTTTAATTAATCAAATTAATTTATCTAATGAAAATATACATTTATTGACAATTAGAATTGTTTGTTGGATATTAAATAAATAATTTATTTACTAAAATCATTAAATGTTACTGCAAAATAGTAATATGAAAATAATTATTTTGGTATTATGCAACCTCACAAACTGATACCTGTAAATAAATATCACTAATGATTATAAAAATATATCTAAAAACAAAACAATAAATAATTTAAACTAATGGTCATATTATTTTTAAATATAATTTAAAAGTGCACCAAAATATCATTATTACAAAATATATTTCACAATAAAAGATGTTAATTTATTTATATTGAAACACACTATATTTTAATACAAATACTTGAATAAAATGAATTTTTAAAATGTTAACATCGTCAACACTATTTAACGATAATATAAAGTTCATTATCTTAAACATTAATTGCATTTGGAATAGTAAAAATTAGAGAATTCTGTATTTAATTGAAATAGATCGATGTTCAATAGAATAATGTTTTAAACTAGTATTTATATTTACTTGTTAGTTAATATTATATGAATTTTTGGCTTAATACAGTATTGCAATGCCATGAGAATGAATTGACTTTCACAGAATACTGTATTCTGATTTTTATTTAATTTTATTTTGTGTTATTCTAAAAAGAACTTTTGTGTTATTTTAAAAAAACTGTAATTTTGGATTTTACAATACTTATTAACTAATTTTTTAAATAGTTGATAATTTTATTTCCGGTTTAGATTTATCATTTAAATTATTTACGTACAACAATATTTAATTATGTGTAGTATAATAAAATTGAACTCGATAACAAATAAACAAATGAATGAATGACTAGATATTTATTAAATAACTTTCATGTGTGCCCTTTGAAAGAACACCTACTGAATTTTGAGACATAATTATTTGATTATGTGGGAGTATACACGTAATACAAGTTGTGTAACGCTAAATGCAAACCAACCTAGCACACATTGGGCTAATAACTCAACATTCAGTCCCTTTTACATCTATCTGTATGCAACTCCGCCCTTGGTCACTTATAGGGAATGGGTGGTTAATACGACTGTCCCGGGTGTGGACAACAACTCATTATTATACTATGAATATTGCGGTCCATTTGTGGTACTATTGAAAACATTCGCCCAATACATCAATATCAAGTAATATAGTTTCTAAATTTAATTTAAATAATATTTTTAAAATAAATTTCATAAGTTAATTTTAAGTATGAGCAACAATTACATTATACCGTATAATATATATATATATAAGGTTTTAAAATTTAAAACAATCTTGAACACATATAAATTAAAATAATCTGTAATAGCTTTATTATTTAAAATTATTTACAGTTTTCAATTACCAAGGCAATTAAAGGAAGTGACTGACATGAGGGAGATATACTTCGAGATAATGGAACAAGCTGAGTTACCAATTATGGCCCCTTATGCAATACAGCCACATTTTATGGGTACCTCACTCGAAGACCTATCTGGTTTTAATTTTACCCGGTTCATTAGCTCACTTGGTGGCGATGTCATAATCAGCAAAATGCACCTGAGTAACTTATTTATATTTTTAAATATTTTTTAATTTATAAATATATCAATATAATATTACTGATTTAATTTCGCAATAGTACCAAGATCCAAATTTAAGTTTATTGACTGTTGGGATCACAACATATACCTATGGCTCGTATTGTCTCTCATATCGATTGGCGCCTTATTTGGTGTCAAATACCGGTCTATCACTGCATGTCTGCACACCCTTTGGGCGTATATTTCGGTCATACTATCGGATTCAATGCAAATTAAACGAGAGTTCAATGCAATGGAGAGGCTATTAGGCGGCCTATGGCTCATAATTTCTGGCACACTATTGCTGTCCCTATACTCGGGCTTCATATACGACACGCTCATGAGGGCTGACGAGTACGACAAAGTCGAGGGTAAATGGGATTTGTATTATAAGTCCAATTATAAGAAATCTCAGATCCATATCTACGCTCCAGACTTTTTTGAAAGAATCCTGATAAAAATTCGTGAAAATGATACCATGGCAAAAGATATTTATGAAAGGTACATATTTTCTGACTGGGTTGAGACCCTGTTTAGTGTTGAACTACAAACTCAGGTATAATTAGTATATCTGTGGTATTTAAACAAATTCAGGTTTATATATAGGATATAAATTTAAAGCTTTTTTAATAAACTTCTATACTTTACTCGTAAGCAATAGAAAAAACTTTAGTTTTATATCTTATATATAAACCTGAATTTGTTTAAATACCACAGATATGAGCATAATTTATTAATCTAACATTGTTTATTGTTTCACCAAGATATTTATAGATATTTTGGAAAATAATTCCGTGCTAATTATTCCTAATAATATTGGTCATTACTTAATGAGCCAGGTGGTTGATTATGTTGACACTAATAGTCAGATTAATTTGTTGGGAAACTATTATAATAAGTATAACAACTTATTTGACCAGTATAAATCTGGCGGTTTTGAAGCAGTAGGAATACATGTTACCGATCCCTCTAATAATTCAATGATTTATTCCTGGATCATTCAAAATGAATATAAACAGGACCTTGATTATATGTAAATTTATCTGTCATGTAAATTTTAATTTATGTTTATTAATAAATTAACTTTTTTAGAGTGATCAAGCTACAGGAAAGTGGTATCTATGAACATGAAGTGAGAAAGTCAATGACACCTAAAGGATTTGGACGCGATTTTGACAAGATTCAAGAAAGTAACCAGGTACATCATAATCCAATATCAGTAAATCATGTAGCCGGTGTTTTCTACATATTATTATCCGGATTGCTTATGGCAATTATTGTTTACCTTAGTGAATTTTGTGCTACATTCAAATTCTTTATCAAATAATGTGGTTACTAATTAATAATTATAAATTGTACTTACTTTATTATTAAGTATTTCACTGTAAAAATTCAACTTAAACGTATAAATCTTGTTTTCAGAAACAATGTCTAAGATATAATACTTACAGTTTACAGACCTTTAAGTTAAATTAATGCCCCTAATTTTTATTAATTAATTTATTAGTTGCAAATACTTTTAAAAATTTAATTAATTATTTTACATATTGGTTCTGTATTATAATATACCAGTAAATGTCGCTTAATGATAAACTATAATATGTTCTGGTATAGTTTATAAAACACAATTTCATAAATAAAGAATACGGTCGGATTCGGCCTAAGCTGGCACCCGGGATATTATGATCGATTCTTATAGAATATTTAACCCCGAGTCTGAATATGTCATGCATATTGTCCTGTGACCTCGGGTTCGGCCCAAGTGTTACAATAATAAACAAACTCAAGGTCCATCTGACTCAGCATTTTGAAATGAGAAGATAAGATAAAATTCCACGGACTTTCTGTTTCATGTAATATATAAGAATCTATTTTATTAAATATGTAACTAGTAAAATATCTGTATTGTATATCGGTTATACAATGCATGTACTGTATGTCATATTATTAATTAATGAATAATTATATTTGTAGAGAAAAGTGTTAAAAAGACAGTGAGAGAGGTCTACGACATGACGATCAGGGAGTTGAAGGTATGGGCGAAACTGGACTGCGACCACTTCACGCAATACCGGAGCTCATGGTTAGAGGCCGAACATAAAGACAAGGAACTGGTGCTCAAAGTATACATAGAAATGGACTTGTGTTGGTTCACTCTGGAGGACGCCATTCGCAAAATGAGGCAACACTTCGAGCGACCGGTCAACCAATTTCTGCCAACTCTGGGCTATTATATGGCCTCAGAATTGTTGATTGAAATACTGGAAGGCATTCATTACTTGCACAGTTTGATACCTCCTATTATTCACCGAGATGTCAAACCCAAAAACATACTGATTAAGGGTAGTCCCTATGGCAGGTTCATTAAGTTGGCTGACTTTGGGTTGGCTACGGAGCACCTGAAGGAGTCTATGAGCCACACACAGGCATCGGGTACCGACAAGTATATGCCGCCCGAAGTTAGGCTGAGTCGCTATTACGGCACGAAAGCCGATATGTATAGCATTGGGGTTACGGTTAACGAGTTGTTCAACTTTGCTCTCCACAGGTATTTCTCATTAAATATTTAATTATCAAGCTAACGTATACAATCAATTTTTATATTATTGCCCTTTTGAGGGTTTAATAATTAATATACCAGTTAGATCTTGTTATGGTTTATTAGTTATTTTAAATTAATTATTATTTTAATCTCTCTCTCTCTCTCTCGTGTAGTCCACAGCCAAAGGATGATAACTATATGAGGATTACAACATTGAATAAAACACTTTTGGATAGCACTCCTTCAAAAAGACCCTCGTGTGCGGACACATTAAAAACCAGTAACGAATGGCATATACCCTACCGTGCAGTCAGGGATCAAATTCTTACAAATATTGTGAATTGTATTGATAAAAGTAACTATGATTTTAACAATCAATTTGTTCAATACTTCTTACACGAGAATTACAAATACAATGAAAGACAATGAATTAATGGAAACTAATGTAAATGCATTAAAAATTTGACTTAATTTTTGTTAAACATTTGTTAATCTTTTAAAAATAAACTTGTTAATTTCAAGGTAAAGGCTATATGTAATTAATACTTATAATGGATGTTCGCCGTTTTGCAAATACCAGATTAGTATGACTAGGTTAATTGGCTTGAAAAAATAACATTTTGCACAATATTATGAAAATCCAGTTGCTCCTGGTCACCGAAAAACCCGAT